CTGTATGAGAAATCTCTCCAAGAATGTCAAATCTCTCCCAAATCTCTCCAAGTATGTGAAATCTCTCTCAAATATCTCTCTGTATTAGAAATCTCTCCAAGAATGTCAAATCTCTCCCAAATCCCTCTAAGTATGTGAAAACTCTCTCAAATATCTCTTTGTATGAGAAATCTCTTCAAGAATGTCAAATCTCTCCCAAATCTCTCCAAGTGTGAGAAATCTCTCCCAAATCTCTCTCAAAAGTTTCCCGTAACTTTTTGGAATCATTCGGGTCATTCCGACCCTTAACCGTGTCAAAATCGGCTCAAAACGGGGCGAAAACGAGAAAATTGGACATTAGGAACCGAAGGTCCTCTTAGGGACCAAGAGCAAGGAGGAGTCGAACCCTCCTGAGCCGAAGGTCCTCTCGGGGCTGAACCTCGCCCAGGAGGAACCGAAACCGAGAGCAAGAAGCAAGAACCGAAACCGAAAGTAAGAACCGAAACCTCCTGATGCGGAACCGAAAGTACTATTCATCTAACCGAACCGAAGGTACTGTTCACTACAGTACGTTTGGTTCTGGCGTTCTCGCCTCTTACTCCCGAACCGAACCCCGCTTTCTCTCGCTTCTCGCTCTGTCTCTTCGCGCCTTCTGTTCTCTCCTCCCCCTCTCGGTTCCTGCCCTCTCCCTTCTCCCCTCTCGGCTCCTTCCTTCCTTCTTCTTCCCTCTCGGTTCTGCCTCCCTCTCTCTCTCGGTTCAGCACCAGAAGGCCGAGCCTCGGCCAGATTTCGCATATTTGCCACTTTTAGCCCATTTTTGATATTTTTGACATTTTAAGCCCGTTTTTCATGATTTTAAAGCGGGATTTTCTCCAGAAATTATATTTTAACATTATAAACTCTAAATATTCATAATTTAAACATATTTTGATGAAAATCATTATTTAAATAATAAAAATCAAATGGGTGAATTATTAAAGGTGGAGTGTTGACTTTGCCTTATCCAAAGTCACAAGCAACCACCTCACACCCACTCTTTGACTAACCACACCTCTCCACCTTACCTAGGTCACATCAATGTCTTTTCCACTCAATTATCCCTCTTCCCACGTTTTTGAGGGCTGATTATTCATCCTCTCTCCTCACTTCTCTCATTTGCTCTCATTTCACAAGAAGATCAAACTCTTTCCTCTCTCACTTTCTCTCTCTAGAAATCCGAGATTCAAGGGCTGATCTTGAGTTTTTCCTCCACATTTGGTAAGCATAATCCATTCTCTTTATGATTATCTCATTTATTTCCACTCAAATCATGGATATCTTAGGCGAACTCTCTCATAATTGTGTTAGATCTTCGAATCTTCAAGTGATTCTTCAAGTGTTCTTGGGTTGAACACTTATCTTCTTCAACACTTACCTACTGAAATCACTCAAGGTGAGTTCATACCCCTACATTTTCATGTTTTCTCAAGTTTTCAGGGGGGGAATACAAGTTAAAACACTAAGAACATATCTAAAATTTTCTAACAGCCTTCATCAGAAAAGTTCAACTCCATTCACGGACTGTTTTGGGCATCTTAAATATTTTTGTTTTCAAAACTATACAAGGTGCAAATAGTTCAAGTTTTTAGCTTTAAAATGGCTACTTGCACATCTCCATACGATTTTTCTACAATTTATGGTGATTTTTACAAAACTGCCTATCATTTCAAACAACAATCCGGACCAGTCTGTGATTTTGGACTTTTTCACCCAAGTTAGAGGTCATATTAATTTGTGATAAAAATTATGAGCAAACTAGACACATTTTGTGAACTCTCAGAATTTACGGATCTAGTTTTCGACTTCGTATGATTTTTCTATGATTTTTCCAAAACAGGGCAGAATTGCTAAATTTTGCCAACAGCATGTAAATATCATAACACTTTGTATTATGTTGAGCAAAGTGTATAATCATAAGTTTTAGTATTTGAATGTGTTTCCTTGTTAGTTTATCATTATGAACTGAAACTAAGACATTCATATTAAATATTATTCATTCATTTTGGAACACGTATTATTAAACTATAAAAAGTATAGTTTGATAAATTCACAACACTAATACATTTCCATAAAAGAATTCATACATATTACATACATTTTAGATAAACTATAATAGGTATAGTTTATGATACATCACTCTACGCACTCGTACAAGAAGGGTACATTCATACAAGAAATATTTATATTCACACACATTTCACGTAAACTTGTTATCCTATATTGTGAGTTTCTCTATTTTTCTCTCTCTCTCTCCCCGTACGTCCGAGTGCGGGATATAATTCCTGGTAGTTATAATCAGAATCTCCTTGAGGGAGAACGTGATACTTGTATATAGATCTATATTGGGATTGACACCCCACACCTTGCTGCTAGCTACAGTTGGACCTGCAGGTCTACGGGTGACAAATGTCATTTTATTTTTCGCGACACTGAGAACGTCGTGGCAGGTTCACATAGTCATAGTATGATTATAACGGCTCACATAAGGAACAATCCATAAGTTTACGGGATTTTATTTTTAAAACCTAAATGAGTTTTATGTCGATTTAAAATCACCTTTTATCTCTATGGGTACAAATACAAAGTGCCGGGTCTCTATACAAAGTTATTATGATATTAAAACTATACTTCCTCTAGAATTGTTAGACTTCAACTATAGTCGCTGAGCGTATATGTTTGAGTCATATAAGAATTTAGTCTTGATTGGCCTAGAATTGGTGGTGCCCGCCTCATCTCCTGTTCCTCGTTGGGTTGTGGACCTAGGGCAGACCCACTATATTCAACGTTTTATCTAATTTAACCCTTTATATAACTTTTATACGCTGGACGATTATAGAGGAACTCTACGGGTTACTCTAGGGTTCATTAATGCATCATGTAGGATTATTTCTAATCACACTTAACTAAGAAAATATTGGATTTTCTGGAAATCAAACTCTATCGATTTTACAAGGAAAAACGGGTTCTACTTCAAACAAAACTCTTATGAACTCACCAACCTTTGTGTTGACACTTTTTAAAACTACTTGTATTCTCAGGAAATCAGTGAAACAGGAAAACTTCATCGCTTTGAGGATGGGACGCTAAACCGTCAACAATTTATTTTGTCATCATAATGTAATTGCTTTTGAAACATATAAACATATACTTTGGTGTAACTTTTGCAATTATATATATGGTGGTTGTTTTTACTTTGAGCACTATTATACACGTTGTTGTGATACTGTACATGAAGTCCTCCACCCCCAGACGTTTCCGCCATCCTTGGTTTGGGGGTGTGACACCGAAAGTCCTGAACTAGCCATCATAACAAAATAATCATTAGGCCAAACATACATCCACTTATTGGGCCAAGGCCAAACTCCAAACCTTCTACATAGCCCAATACTGGCCCAATTTACTAAATTGGGCCCTCCTCACCAAATGGGCCTAGATCCAAGGTCCATAATAATAATTTGGCCCAAAATACTCTATCCATAAATTTCGAGACATGGCCCATAAACCAACAGCCCAATAACAGCCCAAAGTCTAAGACCCAAAATGGAAATCCAACAGGGGGAGTACGCTGGGCGTACAACATTGATTCGCAAAAAGGGGATCGGGGCACTTACTCTCTACGTGGGGCGTACTCATAGGTTACGCGGGGCGTAACCTTGTGGCTCAACAAATTCATACAACTGCTTAATGGCTTAAGCTCTTAAGCCCAAACTTCAGATCCTTAGGCCAAATATGCCTAGGATCCATAAAGTCTCGAACTTTATCACCTGGGACGTCCATAAAGCTCTTAATCTATGGTCTTAATCCATTAAGACCTACTTATCTCACACATGGAACAACCACAGCCCTTGGGACCTCATTTTTCTCACTCAAGACCTCTCCTAAGGTCTGAAAGGACAAATAATCTTGACCAACTCGAAACATGCAACAAGATGAGGACTTTTGGGACAAGAATTGTGTCAAAGCTTCACAATACATAGATCTACACAATATGAATGTCAAGCAAGAAGCTTTATACCTCAAATAGGCTCCAAAGGATGATGTCTTTCCAGATTTAGAAGCTCCAATCGTTCCTCTCCTCCTTTGAAAAATTCTCCTTTCTTCTTCTAGCTTCTCTTTTGCCAAAATAAGCTTTCCAAGACCAAACACACCCAACAATGGAGGTGGGACAGCTATCTAGGGTTTCTGAGGTTAAGAGAGTGTTTATGGAGGCTAAGGAGGAAGCCTTTATGATCCACTACTAGAAAACTGGCCTTTAATGACGTGCAAACAATGACACTCGCCGATAGAGGGCGCGCATTTGTGGGTGCCCTAAAAAATAGTGTCAGTTTTGCGAAATTTGACGGATAGAAGACACGCATTTGTACGTGCCCTAAAATTAGTGTTAGAAAAGAAAAAAAAGGAAATACGGAGGGCGCCTTTTATAAAATGTACGTCATGTAAGTATGTCGCTTTATAAATTTTTAATGAAACACGCCTTTTAGGCGGGAAATGATCGATCGACAAAAATCCCCAAAATTTTGGAGGACCCGCGCATTCATTCCTCTCCACTTGATAAAAATCCCCAAAATTTTGGAGGACCCGCTCATTCATTCCTCTCCACTTGCTGATGACCTTCATTTTCTCCCCCTCCTTCTCTCAATCAAGAAACCCTAACCTTTCTCTCTATTCACGAGCCAGTAATCACGACAAAGAAGATCAACAACAAAGACCCAACTAGTTCCATTTATCCCTAAAATTGGTACAACTTCTGCAAATTCCATGGCCGCTTTAATATCCATAGATACGCTTTGAACCAATCTAACCATACCTTTGCCCAAAATTCTTCAAATATGGTCCGTCTTCATCTTTTATCTTCGCATATGGCCCATCTTCACATAATCAATAAGTTACTAGGGCTTTGAACCGGACCTCACATACTTCTTAGAGCTCACAACAGCTTCTCACATTTAGAAGCCCTTCCCGCTGGTAAAAAAACCCTTCCGATGGACACCCTAACTCGATGCCTTAAGCAGAGCCTCCACCGCCCACCACGTTTGTCATCATCTTCATCTAGGAGTTGTTTTGTTGCTCATCGGTGCCACATGGCTTCCCAGAATAAGTCGTTGAGAACACGTATTGTTCTTGTGATAGTCTTCTATCTCCAAATGACCTACAAATCTGCAACCAAAAATGTTACAACATCAAAACACGTATTGCAGATCCTGCTTCTTTGGACCGCAATGATTGGGCGTCGCTGATCTCTTCCAGGAGTTTCTTTTTGACAACGATGGCATCAGTCAGGTACTTTACATGTTAATAGATTTCTAGGGCTTATGTATGTTTCAATTTATATGCAACTTCCCCAAATTAATCTAGAGAAACTTCTAGGGGTTTATGATTTTTTAGGTAATCTGTAGTGATTAGGTTAAATTACTCATAGTTTTGATTAAGTTTTTTTTATCATCATGTCCAAGTCCCTTCTCTACTGTGTTCCTATGAGTCTTATACTCGGTAAGAGGAAACTGAATGAAAAAAATTCTTTTGGTTTCTGCATATATTTCCGGTAGAGATCAATTTATGAATTTTATTTGCACTTTCTGCCGTAGGATCATTTGGTAGGACTATATTTGTTCTATGGTAAAAGCTATTTCATTTCAACTTTTACCCTCGTGAATGAAAATGAGAATGTTGATTGATTCTTCAATGGATTCAATTACAAAGTTCATGTCTAAATAGATTCTTGGATCCTTAATGACAATCACAAAAACAATGCATTTCAGATGTTTTATGGAATTATTTAAAGAGTATTGATTACGACACAACCAATTATTTATGAAAATGACCATTATGCCCTTGTCTCTTTCGTCTTCTTAATGTCCTTCATCTTCCTCCACAAGAAACCTGAAACCAAACAAAATCCCCAAAAATCAAATTAAAAAAAACATAACAAAAACAAAAAACAAATATTGGGATCTGTTAGTGAACAAGAAGTAGTACTCAAATGGATAAAATTCAAAAAAGAAGAAAAGAAGATGAATTCTCAAATGAACAGTTAAAAGACTATGTAGCTGGTATCAATTTTTAGTAGTACAATTACCAGCTTGAACTGTCTAGTTTAAGAGACTATTAATATGGAATGGATTATTATGCTACATTATATCCCAAAAGACACTTTATGATCCACCTGCTTATTATAACTTAGGAAAAAAATCAGTGATTTCGTTAATATTTTCATTGTAGTTTCTTGAGAGCAATAATGTTTTGCATCTGACAGTTACTATTCCGGCCCCTTACAATGTATTGTCCATATAAAGGGTCCCACTTTTTTTTGGTTTCTACTTTAGGATTTCTAGATTTTAATATTACTGTTATGTTGACATCTTCTTGTAGGCTATTTCTGCTCCTGTTTTATCTGTTGTTGGTGAACGCTATTACAAAGTTACTGCAGAGGAATTAAGAGTATGCGGGGAACTTATTCGAGCAAACATTGAGGTGTTATCCCTTTCTATTTCATGATCTATTCCAAAAATTTCTTGTATTTATCTATTTTTCTGCTCTGATATTACTTTATTGATTTGTTTAGGTTTCTAATTTTGATTTCAAACCTTATGTCCATCCAATATATAATGTCATCTTGTCACGATTGACAAACCGAGATCAAGACCTGGTTAGTACTTGTTTGTGAACTTGTATTGGGAATTTGGGATAACATAATTGTCTTTCTCCAGGAGGTTAAGGAATGTGCTATCTCTTGTATGGGTTATAGACATTTTTGTAATGCAAGGGTTATAGATATTTTCTTTTAATTTATTTATGATATCTTTATCCCAAACTTGTAGTGTATTGGTGCATTAGAAGAAGATACATCAGAAGAATTAGTTGTTTAACCTGTAGTTCCAATATCATCTGATAATAATAATAAGCAAAATAAGGCGCCGATGAAATCCCAGCAACAGGGAGTGCCTGTAAAGAATAATAATAATAATCAGAAAGTTGTGAGTGTAGGTGTGAGCCAGAAGAGTGAAGTTACAAGCGAAATGAATGTGATGCATGACTGGGACCCGTCTGATTGGTGGTTTATGCATGAATATCCTCCACCGCCACCACCAAGTGTTGTGAAAGATGAAGGTGGTGGTGGTAATAGAGGAAAGAAACCAACAACAGCATATAACAAGAGTCATAGTAGAAGCACAGTGGTAATGCCAATGGAAGTAAAAATAATCAAGATGAAGCCGAGGTAATAACAGAGAGGCCTACTTCTACAAAAGAGAATAGTTCTACTCATTGGCAACCAAAACCTCAAGCTCAAGCAACGGCATATAAAGGTTAACGTGGTGGTGAGGAACATCATCATGGTGGTGAAGAGGGTAGAAGAGAGAGAAAGCCAAGAAGAGGAGGAGTACTGATTCATTCCCCAAATAATAACACGGAAGATGAAGCCCCTCCATTTGAGCAGCAGCAACAACCAGGTTTTAGGAAGTATGGGCAAAACAACCGTGGTGGTGGTGGTGGGTGGCAACATAATAGCAATAATAACGCAAACATAAACCAGGAAAAGCCGAGGCAAAATCTGCATTATGAGTATCAGCCAGTCGGATTAAACAAACCGGATGCACGTACAGTTGCAGCTGCAGCTGCAACTGATGGGTTTGGGAATGCAATGGGTCAGAGGTACAAAGAGAGGAGTTTAGGTCAATCAAGACAGGGTGATGATGGGGGTAACTTTTATGGGCGGAAAATAGTGGTGGTGATTGTAGAGAAGAGAAGAGAAGTCAGATTATGTTTACTTTTTTTTTTTTTGGTGGGGGGGGGGGGGGGTGGGGGTCAGAAAATTGGTGGGCGATGTGAAGGTATGAATGGGGGGTTATATTTTAGTGGTTTAATAATATCATTTTATAAATTTTTTATCGGTATGGTATGTCAGGTAGGCAATATCTGCTACAATTCCTTATCTTATTTACATGTGTTTTTTTTTTCTCCCGTTAATTGTTTTCTGTTTATATGATGTCTGAATAATACTTGAGAAAATAAGTGCACAATTAGGGAAATGGAATGACAAACTATTAGAGGGTAAATTTGTAAAACATAAGACTTAATGGTATTTATCTGATTATTTCTATTATGTTGTCCTTTTTGCATTAATAAAGAAACACCGTATAGCTTACTTGAATGAGGGCTTGCTTCTTGTATACATGTTTAAGCCAAAAGAGAAATTTAAGGAAAAGAGGTTTTAAAATATTATTTATCTTAACAGGAAAAAAGTAACACAAATGGTGTTGTGTATGCAGAGAGGTATTTGCAGCCACTTGTTGATACCCCTGGAGACGTATGTACTTTTTTAACAATCACCCTAGAATAAGAGTCCACTTTTTTACTAGTATTTTTTTTACTGTTTCCATATTAGGTATTCCAACTGAGGAAGCTTCTTCCTACATCTCTGCCTTACAACATCAACATTCATGTAAGCTATAGTTTATCTTTTAAAAAGATTTTACTTTATAGTTTTGATGTGTTTGACTAATAATCAAATATTAAAATGCATATTCTAAATTCTAAAATTTGTAATCAGGCAGATCATGGACTTCCAACCTGGAAAATTTCTTAATGTAAAAGTATGTCATTACATTACTTATTAAAATGTGTTTATTTAAATCAACAGTCTTGAAAAAATAAAAACTATAATAGTTTTTTGTTGTTGCAGGAAGTCCATTATAATCAACATGGTTTGTTACTTCTAGAAGGACAAGGCATTTATTGTCTGGGTGATAGCTGGTAAGTTTCATGGCGAAAGACACAATTTTTTCACTTTTGATAAATGCAACCATTGCACTTTCATGATAGATTTACTGTATCCTGTACTAATGTAATGTGCTTTCATTATCATCTTAAACAGACTGAAGACATCACTGCCCTCTTGAGTCTCAAGAAAATGCAAAACCTGTTGGAATAGTGTCTAAGGCTGTAACTATATTCGGTTGTGCATGGTCCTTTTGGGTTGCCTTCACCATAGCAACTTGAAGGATGATTTGTTAAGAGAGAGTAAATATTATAAGAAATAATATTTAGCTATTTGATTAATATAAGTCATAAATTAATTGGTATTAATTTGGTGACTTAAAGAGATTAATTAAATAAGAGGGTATAAATTGTCAATTGTTTGATAGTTAGACTTTAGACTATAAATCCATTAGGATGGACTTTGGACGGATTCTAAGAGCTTTAGGATAGCTCAAAATCGTCCATAGGGTTATCTATGGAATGGATTTGGATAGCCTTAAGAGAAGATTATCCAATTAGGGTTTAGGGTGAAACCCTTAAGGAGTCTACAAGTATAAATAGACCCTATGGGATGTGGAATTCGTGTACAACCTTACACAACCTTAAGCAAGGATACTCTGGCCGAATTCCTCCCCTCTCCTCTCTCCTAAATCATCTTGCTTGCTATTGGTGTTTGTAAGCCATTAGAGGAGTGACATTTGTGACTCTAGAAGCTCCAAGACAAACAAGATCAACAAGGGATTCAAAGGTATGTATTCTAGATCTGTTTCATCATTGTTATTTGCCTAATTAGCCATTAGAAGTCTTGGATTCAAAAGCATGTTTATTAGAAAGCCTAGATCCAAGCAATAGGGTTTTGCATGCGCACATAGGAAAGTTCTTATGGCTAAAACCCAACAGTGGTATCAGAGACTAGACTGGTTTTCTTTAAATTGTTGCTTGAATAACTGAAACAAACCTGCAAAATTCGAATTTTTGGGTTTTGAGTCACTGACTCGTCGAGTTCCAAGGTGGACTCGTCGAGTAGGCCTGACTCGGCGAGTCCCTTTGTGCACTCGGCGAGTCCAAGCGTCAGGAAGGGCCAAATTCGGGATTTCTTTGTGTTTATCTTATCCAAACTTTCCATAAACTAATTAGATCAATATGAATCCGATTTTTGATAAATATAAGTGTTATCTTGATCTAGTTAAAGGTAATTATCAACTAATTAAATATTTAGTTTCCTTATATGATAATTAATTAATTATTTTGATTATTTTTGGTAATTATCTTCAAAGAAATCAAAGATAAATCAAATAAAGATAATTAAGATATTAATTGTTAATTGAAATTATTTGTTATTTGATCCTCCATGTTTTAAATGTTTAAAACCTACCCTATAGTTTTGAAATTTATATCCTGTGATTAAAAAAACTTTAATTTAGACAACTTAAATTTCAAACCCTAGATTTTGAAAAGTTTAAAATGCAACCCTATACTTATATGATATTATTAGAATAATATATATATGTATAACTAAATGCTAGTCTTACCGCTAGTAGGCCTCATTCACGAAGCCGATCTATAAGGTGGGTATAAGGTTGCGGCCTATAAAATGGCGCTTAATGGGTGTACACTCACACCCACCGCTCGCTTGATTGGTGGAGGGTCGTTAGCCGAACGGGTAGGATAGGGCAACCTCATCCTCTCATTAAAAGTATAATAAGAAATACGAAGTAACTAAACCTTTTTTTAAAATTTCCCAATCTTAGTTACTTTAGGAAAAGTGAATTGATGCAATCCCATGAAATTACACTTTGCACCTTGCTAAGATGTTAGTGGAGCGTGTGTGGTTTACCGGCACACTAATTGGTTCTAAGCGAAGGTGGCAAAGGGTGATTCATTGTTTATCATAGTTCGATGGAGCGTGTGTGGTTTACCGGCACATCGAATAGGTGATCGTAACAATGAAGGCACCATGTAAATTTGCATGGTAATTCACACCCGCTTTGTGATCCTCGGCATCCCAGTCACAAACAAGAGGGGCATATCGAGATTTAAACATGCCATTGAATAGTTCAATGAATCTCATCCGAACCTAGGAATTCTCAAAACACTTAGGACAAAAGTTTAAGTTTGTGATGGAGAATTAGTGAATCGTCATTCACTTACCTTCAATTTATTTGCATTAGATTACGGCATCCCTTTTCTAGTATGTAAATGTTATTGTTGGATCCTAGCCCTAATTTTTCTTATTGGGTGATAATTAGGGATTCTTGTTCTAATCTATCTTTGTCCTTTCTATAGATGTCAAACGCAAACAACGCTGCTGCTAGTTCTTTCACGTTGATGAGCCTTTGCCAAAAGGTCACCTTCGATGGAACGAACTTTGGCGAATGGATAAGATACATTCGCACCATTGCTCGCTATGAGGATAAAGAGTATGTCCTCGACGAGAAGCTCGAGAAAATCAACCCCGAATTGCTACTCCCGCCGAAATCACCGCCTTTGAAACTCATGAGCGAGATGCGACGAAAGTACATTGCATCATGATCGCCACCATGAACTCCGAATTCCAAAAGTCCTACGAGGACATGTATCCATACGAGATGCATCAAGACTTGTTGGAGAGGTACCACCAAAACGCGAGACAAGAGCGTTACGAGATCTTCACTAACATGATTTCCGCCAAGATGGGTCATGGAGAATCTCTTACCGTGCACTTGCAAAAGATGCAAAGGTATGTCGACCGCCTTCGCAAGTTAAATGTTGACTTCGGCGAAGACTTGGCGATCGACATGGTGCTTCACTCTTTGCCTCCGATGTATAATCAATTTAGGATGACCTACCACATGAACAAAGAGGAGGTCACTCTAAGTAAACTCCAAGGTCTCTTGAGGGTTGCTGAGAGCAATTTCAAGGACAAGTCTGTTGCACCAACTCCCAATCCATCCGCTGCTCCTGTCTTGGCTATTGGTCAAGGGAAGGGAAAGAAGAGGAAAGCTTCTTCAAATAACTATCGAAAGGTGAAAGCCCGAGATGGTTCCTCTTCTAGTGGGACCAAAGTTGATCCCTCTAAGCCCTGCTCTAACCCGAAGGAGGCAGAGTGCCACCACTGCCACAAGATAGGACATTGGAAGCGAAGCTGCCCGGACTACCTGCAAGCCATCAAGGAAGGAAAGATCAAGCCATCTTTCGCAGGTATATATGCAAAAATCTAACGATTCTAATCATGCTATTTCTTGGGTTCTTGACACCGGTTGTGGTTATCACATTTGTTCTAATGTGCAGGGACTAAGAAGAAGTAGGGATGTGGAGCAAGGAAGGATCAATCTAATCATGGGGAACAGAAGATCGTCGCCTGTGACCAAGATTGGAGTGTATTCTTTAGTGCTTAAGAATAGTTTAGTTTTAGATTTGAACAATTGTTGCTATTCGCCAGAAATGGCTAGAAACATCATTTCATTTCATGGTTTATATAGACAAGGTTTTAGATTTTCTTTTAATAATGAGAATGGTTCTATTTTGGCTTATCTAAATGGTGTCTTTTACTTTGAAGCTATACCATGTAATGGAATATATGAAACTGTTATGATTGTTGATAACTTAGGAAATGATGTTTTGAATATTGATTCTTCCACTAGTATGGATAAAGCATCCTTGTGGCATTGTCGTCTTGGACATGTCAACAAGAAACGCATAGCCCAACTCCAAAAGGATGGAGTGTTGGAGTCATTCGACCTTAGGGAAGATGACACATGCGAGTCTTGTTTACTTGGAAAGATGACTAAGTCACCCTTCACGAGTACTTGTGAAAGGGGTGAGGGACTATTAGACCTAATACATACCGATGTATGTGGACCTTTTAGATCAACCACGAAGGATGGGAACCGCTTCTATGTGACCTTTACCGATGATTATAGTAGATATGGGTATATCTATTTAATCAAGCAAAAGTCAGAAACCTTTGAAAAGTTCAAAGAGTTCAAGAATGAAGTGGAGAATCAATTGGGCAGGAAAATCAAGATGCTTCGATCCGATCGAGGAGGAGAGTACCTAAGTCTTGAATTCCACGATTATCTCAAGGAGTGTGGAATAGTTTCGCAATTGACGCCTCCTAGGACACCGCATTGAATGGTGTGGCAGAAAGGCGTAATCGAACCTTATTGGATATGGTTCGCTCTATGATGAGTCGTGCTTCACTACCTATCTTCTTTTGGGGGTATGCCTTAGAGACTGCCGCCCATATCCTTAACCGAGTCCCTACAAGAAGGTTGCCAAAACACCTCACGAGATGTGGACGGGGAAAGCTCCCTCGTTGGCACATATCAAGGTTTGGGGTTGCGAGGCTTTCGTAAGACGAGATACTCACGACAAGCTTGAACCTCGAAGTGAGCGATGTATTTTCATCGGCTACCCGCAAACTTCCTTTGGATATCTCTTCTATAGACCGAAAGATAATGTTATCTTTGTTGCGAGGAGAGGAGTTTTCCGAGAGCGAGAACTCATAAGCCAAGGAGACAGTGGGAGGCAAATCGAACTTGAAGAGATTCAAGAATCGATAGATGAAGGAACCTCTACCGCTGGCATTCAACCCGAGGAGGAAACTCCGGTTGAACCGATTGACGAATCCTTACCTCTTAGACGTTCCGATAGAGTTAGAGTTCAACCCCAGTTTTATGGTTTTCATATTACTACCGAAGGGGACACGTATATTAGTGATGGTACACTAGTAAATCTTGATGAACCTAATAGCTATAAGGAAGCCATGGCAGGCCCGGAGTCTGCGAAATGGAAAGAGGCGATGGATAGCGAGATCCAATCCATGTACGATAACCAAGTTTGGAATTTGGTTGATTACGTGCCCGAACGTAAGACCGTAGGGTGCAAGTGGATCTTCAAGAAGAAGACCGACGTGGATGGGAACGTACACACATATAAGCGCGATTGGTTGCGAAGGGCTTTACTCAAACTCCCGGAGTTGACTATGATGAGACCTTCTCACCAGTTGCGAAGATT